GGCCTCCGGTGGAGCTCTTTATGTGGCCACGAAACGTGTGAGGGGTGTGCCGAAATGGGTGGTGGGGAGGCATGCGAACCCTGCCACTGGGGCCTTCGGTGGAGCTCCCTATGGGGCCACGAAACGTGTGAGGGGTGTGCCGAAATGGGTGGTGGGGAGGCATGCGAACCCTGCCACTGGGGCCTTCGGTGGAGCTTCCTATGGGGCCACGAAACGTGTGAGGGGTGTGCCGAAATGGGTGGTGGGGGGGCATGCGAACCCTGCCACTGGGGCCTTCGGTGGAGCTCCCTATGGGGCCACGAAACGTGTGAGGGGTGTGCCGAAATCGGTGGGATGATGATGATGATGATGATGATGATGATGATGATGATGCTGCTGCTGCTGCTGATGCTGATGCTGATGTTGATGCTGATGATGATGATGATGATGATGATGATGATGATGATGATGATGATGATGATGATGATGGAGGAGGGAGGAGGAGGAGGAGGAGGAGGTGAGGAACGCGGGGCGCCGTCTCTTCAAAACGAGGACCCAATACCACAGGATGGTTGGGAATTAAGCGAGGAGGTACGTCAACGCGGACTGCATTTGCTTTCTGTTCCAGACTTCCGCCAGCGCTTCCGTTGCATTCGTCACCTCGCGGGATCCCCCACCCCAGCGCATGCGCAGAGATGCTACGCTCGGGGGCTACAGAGCCTCTGCCCGACGACCTTGTGGAGTCACTGGACAGAGAAGTCAGGACCCTGTGCCAGCAGGCGTACAAGGAGGGGCATGCCAGACCTTTGGCTGCAGGATCGGCGAAAACCACCGCAAGATCCACTACGGAAAGAACCTAGAACTAAGCGTGCGCTCGGGCGCGGACGAACACGCACACACACACACACACACACACACACACACACACACACACACACACACACGCACACACACACACACAGACACACTTGGCAGTAGTTGCCTCGCGCGCAGCGACGAGGCGGGGAAATAACATACATACCTACATACATACACACCTTCAGACGCCTCGAGCCTACATTGGAAGAAAACGGTCGCAGCGGGGGCCTCGTGGGCCGTCTTTCTAGCCATCAGGGGCCGTCGCGGAGCCATCAGCTTGGCCGTCATGATGGCAGTTTTGGGCGGGAAAGCCGTTGGGAGAAATACGTGTTGGCTGGCTGGCGGGGAAGGGTCGACAACAAAGCAAGTTTGAAAAGTTTGCACACCAAGCACCCGCGTGGCAGTCCAGGAGGCGGCGGATATGGTGGCCTTCGGCCCATCCCACCACAGCGCCAGGGTCGCGAGCAAGAGAAGTATTAGACGTGTTGGGGCCTCTTTCGGGCCTCTTTCGGCCCTTTGGCGGGCCACTTGGGGGCCTGCTGGCGGTCTCGGGGGCCATCATGGGGCGGAGCGCTCGAAGTTGCGATTCGAGCTTCCCCTGTTGGGCCCGTCTTGGGGGTCTCTTACGAGCCTGCAAGGCCCCTCATGGGGGCCTCGGAGGCCTTCGGGTGGGTATTCGGGCCGTCTAGGACGTTCTGCAAACCTGAAGGCCGAGTGCGCAAGGGCCACCATGAGCGCCCATGAGGGTTCAGCATAGGCCCCAAGACGGTCCATTGGGGCTGCTGAGAGTCCCCGAGCATATTTGAGCGCTGTTTGGACGACAAGTGGAGGATGTTGGACACGGTGTGGGCAGGTTTGGCTTCCCGGAGGCCCTCGAAACAAAAAAACATTAGCCTGACGAGGGACCCAACCATATACAGGTGTGAGTACCGCAATAGTGATTCACTTTTTCGGTGGCGATCCCTATGAGGCAACGAACCGTGCTAGGGGTGTGCCGACATGAGTGGCGTGGTACACAACGCGAACGAAAACGATTGATCTGAGTACGTAGGGAGACTGAGCGCGGGTGAATCTGCGCGCGTGCGTCTGACTGTGAATGAATCTGCGTGCGAACGAGTCTACGTGCATGAATGCGAATATGACAAAGCGTGGCGCAATTGTGTATGAATGTCAATAGTTTGACAATGTCTGCCTCTGAGTACTCGTGACGCTGGGCGTGGCCGCCGCAAGGAGCTTCCCCGGGACTCCCCGACGGCATCGCCCGCGCGCCGCGACGCCAATGTCGGCGCGCCCACCGGCGAGGATCGCGCCCGCTTCCTCCCCTTCCTTTACTCCCTCTTTGCCCGCGCACTCAAAAGTCCAAGGTTGCGGGCGCAGCGCAGCGCGGAGTCCCCGCGACGCGCGCAGGTCGCCCCGGAGGGGTCCCAGCGACGCGCGCGGGTCGTCCACTGCGCGGAGCAAAAAGAGCTAGCTGGCTGGCTGATAGCGGGCAAGGCTCTTGCCGCTGGGCAGAGAGACGACGGGACGCATGCGGGCACACCCACTGGGACCTTCGGTGGAGCTCCCTATGGGGCCACGAACGTGTGAGGGGTGTGCCGAAATGGGTGTGCGGGACGCATGCGGGCACACCCACTGGGACCTTCGGTGGAGCTCCCTATGGGGCCACGAAACGTGTGAGGGGTGTGCCAAAATGAGTGTGCGGGACGCATGCGGGCACACCCACTGGGACCTTCGGTGGAGCTCCCTATGGGGCCACGAAACGTGTGAGGGTGTGCCGAAATGGGTGTGCGGGACGCATGCGGGCACACCCACTGGGACCTTCGGTGGAGCTCCCTATGGGGCCACGAAACGTGTGAGGGGTGTGCCGAATGGGTGTGCGGGACGCATGCGGGCACACCAACTTCGTGGACTGGGACGGTGTGAGCGGTGTGACCTACTGGGACCTTCGGCGGAGCTATGGGGAAACGGGAGCAACACCCACTGGGACCTTCGGTGGAGCTCCCTATGGGTGTGCGCCGAATGGTGTGCGGGACGCATGCGGGCACACCCACTGGGACCTTCGGTGGAGCTCCCTATGGGGCCACGAAACGTGTGAGGGGTGTGCCGAAATGGGTGTGCGGGACGCATGCGGGCACACCCACTGGGACCTTCGGTGGAGCTCCCTATGGGGCCACGAAACGTGTGAGGGGTGGGCCGAAATGGGTGTGCCGCAATGGTGTGTGCGGGACGCCTGGGACACGGTGCCACTGGGACCTTCGGTGGAGCTCCCTATGGGGCCACGAAGCGTGTGAGGGGTGTGCCGAAATGGGTGTGCGGGACGCATGCGGGCACACCCACTGGGACCTTCGGTGGAGCCCCTATGGGGCCACGAAACGTGTGAGGGTGTGCCGAAATGGGTGTGCGGGACGCATGCGGGCACACCCACTGGGACCTTCGGTGGAGCTCCCTATGGGGCCACGAAACGTGTGAGGGGTGTGCCGAAATGGGTGATGACGATGATGATGAAGATGGGAGGAGGGAGGGGGCAGCGGGAAGGAAGGAACGCGGGGCGACGTCTCTTCAAAACGAGGACCCAACACCACAGGATGGTTGGGAATAAGCACCCAGGAGAGCCGGGGAATGTTGGCAACTCTTTTTCATCATTCTCTTCCTCCTCCTCCTCCTCCACCTCCTCCTCCTTCCTCCTCATCCTCCTCCTACTCCTCCTCCTTCTCCTCCTCCCCCTCCCTCTTTTTCCTCCTCCCAATCCCTGCGGGTGGACCTCTCCTGTGTTCCGCTTCCACGGAACGGAATGGGTTTTCAGTAATGTCACAATCTTTGTAACATTGACGTTTGTACGAGCTCGGGGGTTCTCCACTACAAGCTGAAGGCGCGGTGGCGGATTGCTGCAGTTGGGCCTGGGATACATTGTTTGAATAAAATTGCGCGGAATTGTCTGGCGAACGAACCTGGCCTCATTGCGGGGACTCTGTCCAGGGCGTCTCGGGCTAAACTGCGAGGGAATATCGAGCGGGAGCCGTTGTCGCCGCATTTGGGCCCTGGGCATATGGGGTTTGGCAACGGGCCCGCGCTCGAGCGACAGCCTCGTCCTCGCAAAGGGTGCAAGCCCGCACCGATCCGGGGGCGCACGGAGCCGCCGACACTGGACCAGCAGCATTTATTGTTTAAGATTAGAGTTCAACAACAACGACGACGACGATGATGCAGCCCGCGCCAATTCGAGGGCGCGAAGAGCCGCCTCCAGAACAACAGTAGCAGCCCTGTGATAACGAGTAGTTAAAGACGACGGCGGCGGCGGCAGAGAGATCGAATAAGACAACAGTACAGAGCATAAGTTTCTGAAGACCCGCACGCATCTATTACCCCACCCTGGCGGCGCCTGCGTCGCGCCCCCCAGCGCGCTCCGTGCGCCAGGGAGTGGGATCCAGCGGCGGCCCATGCAATCAGCGCGGGCCTCAAAACGTATCTGTTTGCGTTTTCTCCTTCTACAGCCAAGACGCTGCAATGAGAGGACAACTGTGAGCTCAGGAGAGGCTCCGGTTTGGGCGTCGCCCCTGAGAGCCAGGTCGGGGAACCCGTTCGTGGCCGAGGCCCGCTGTAGCCAGAAGAACCCCCCATTCCTTGCCCAGCGTTCCTCGTGGTGGCACGATGGCTGTATGGTCATGCCGACCTTTGTTTCTTCTAGACGACGACGACGACGGCGGCGGCGGCGGCTGCGTGGAGAGGGTTCCGCCATGGCTCTCGACTCACGACGCCCGCGACGACGACGGCGGGCGGCGACGACGACGACGGCGGCGGCGACGACGACGACATCGACGACGACGACGACGACGACGACGACGACGACGACGACGACGACGGCGGCGGCGGCGACGACAACGACGACGGCGGCGGCGGCGGCAACGACGACGACGACGACCTCGGGCGCCAGCGACGACTGTACCCTCGACGGGCGGCGTCGACGGCGACTTCGCCCGTCGACCCAGACGAAGACGGCGGCGGCGGGCTCGGCGACGGAGACGGCGTCGACTGCCCATGCGGCCGCGACGGCGCGGGCGGCGACGACGGCAACGGCGGCGGCGGCGACGGCGGCGGCGGCGGAAAGAGCTCCACCAGTGCCCCTCCCATCTTGCGGGCGAAGCCGTCCCCGCCCCCGCGCCGAGGGGAAGAGGAAAAAGAAGGCGAAGGGCATGAGGCGCGGGCGCGCGCCGCGGGCGGCGCCTCTCCTCCCCTGCATGATCTCCTCCTCCTCCTCCTCCTCCTCCTCCTCCTCCTCGTCTCCTCCCTGTCACACGCCGAGGCCGGTCGAAAGGGCGGGCTCGGCGTGTCGCTGAAGATCTCTCCGCCCATTTTATGATCTTGAAGCTTCAGCTTTGTAGCAGGTTCACAGATGGGGGACGGGTCGTTTTCGAACTGTGGTTCTCGCTGTAGCGACGCGCACATTCGTTCTAAAAGTTTGCAGGAGTTTGCGGATGGAGGGTGGGTCGTTTTTAAATGTTATTCTCGCATTAGCGCCGCGCGCACTCTTCTCCAACGTTTGGAAAGGCTTCACGGATGGAAGGCGGGCCGTTTTCCAAAGGTGGCTCTCATATTAGCGCCGCGCACATTTGCATGACATATTCGCACAAAAATCATTGATGGAGGGCAGTCCGTTTCAGAATGTGGTTATCGTTTTAGCGCCGCGCTTATTTGTCTCAACATTTTGCAAGAGTTTCACGGACTGAGGGCGGTTCCTCTTCAACGTGTGGTTCTCGCCTCAGTGCCGCGCACATTCGTCGCAAGACTTTGCAACAGTTGCAACGATTCTCATGGCTAAGGTCCCAGACATGGTATTTGGCACGAAGTCGAATGCCGGGCATCAACATGGACGTTGATTCGCGGTGTTGAAATCTCAGGAATGGCGTTCTGGCGCGGTTCGGGATCGTCAAGACGCAGCAGGAACGGTGACTCGAGGCGTTGAAGTCCAAGAGATCGTGTTCTGGCACAGTTCCGAATGTTCAAGGGTTGTCTTCCAACGGGGCACTTTCCTCAGTGATAATGAATCCTTGTATGGGCACGTGAGGAGAGAACATGGATGGAGGGTTTAAATGCAAAATCGTTGATGAGTCTTGGGTTTAACCTGGTCCTCCTCCTCATCTCCTCCTCCTCCTTCCCCTGCCTCCCTCACTTCCTCTTCCTTACCAACCTGCCGCACACCAGACGTGTCGGCAGGGCCGGCTGGGCGTTTCGCTTGAGACACCTTCACCACTTATAATCATCATATTTCTACCGCCACTGGATTACCTTCTTCAAGCCCCCGACACAGAGGCGGAGCAGGAGGGGCGTGAGAACTGTCAAGCGCTTGAGACGAACCCGTTGAAGCATGGCACGTGCGTCGTGCGGCTCACGGTCCCCAGCGGCCTGGGGCTTAGCGGTATTGAGCCCCCTAGTTCCGTGAGGTTCGATCAGGGCGAGCAGCAGATAGTGATTACCGTGAAGATATCTGAAGGCTGTCGGCCATTGCCACCAGCCCCTTGGCCCGGGCATCCAAGACCCCCTTGTTGTCGTCGTCGTCGTCGTCATTGAGGTTATCGCGGGTGACGTCTTGTGACCTTCTTAGGCTGTTCCGTAACCGGCCATAAGAGCAACATTATGGGGTTTGTTGGGTCCACACTTGGATAAGAGCACGCTCTGCACAGCCCATTCAGCGCCACTCATCCTAGGATGATCATGATGACTGTATTCCGCGCTGGGTCGCGGCCCCGGGAGAGGACCTTGGGTCGCGGACCCGGGAGAGGACCAGGGGCGGGGACCGTTAGTTGCGCGGCTGGGGGCGCTCAGGGGATACGAGGGCGGCACCCAGGAAGAGCCAGAGACAGAAGACATCCGCACGAGCAAGAAATGTCAGAGTGAGCGGAGGACGAGGCGGGAAGGAACGAAGGAGACTCGTTGTTTCCATCCCGCCTCCTCCTCAAACCGTCAGATGTTCGGAGGTCCGCGCGCATTTCTTGGATCGGCGCTGGACCCCTGGTGGCTCCTCCAGAGCCGCCACTGGCGCGCTCCGCGCATCAGGCAGGGAGGAGCAAGCTAGGATCCCAGAAATCCGCGCGGCGGACCACCGACGGTGAATGTGCGTGTGCGTGTGCGTGTGCGTGTGCGTGTGCGTGTGCGTGTGTGTGTGTGTGTGTGTGAGTGTGTGTGTGTGTGTGTGTGTCGTTGTGTGTGTGTGTGTGTCGTTGTGAGTGTGTGTGTGTGTGTGTGTGTGTGTGTGTGTGTGTGTGTCGTGTGTCGTGTGCGGGTGCGGGTGCGTTGCGTGTGCGTGTGCGTGTGCGTGTGTGCGTGTGTGCGTGTGTGCGTGGTGTTCGTCGTGTGCGCGTGTGTGCGCGTGTGTGCGTGTGTGTGTGTGTGTGTGTTTGTGTTTGTGTGCGTGTGCGTGTGCGTGTGCGTGTGCCTGTGCCTGTGCCTGTGCCTGTGCGTGTGTGCCTGTGTGTGGCGATGCTTCTCCTCCAAGACGCGGCAGCAGCAGCAGCAGCTCGCCGACCAACCTAGGTAGTGGTAATGAATGAGCGCGTAAGTTATTAGCTCAGATAACGAACATAATGCAGAAGAGCACGCATGGAACGCAGAAGCCAAGTGTGAGACACAAAGACCTGTGTATTACTCGTGGGACAGATTTCTCTAAACGGAAATCTTTTCAGTACCACGACCTGATTGTTTCGATGAGCAGCGGGCGCTCTGTTCGAGGCGAGGCCCTAGTAGACGCAGCCGTAGTCGTTTTGGCTCAGGCAGCCCTCGGCCCGAGCCCGGCGCCCGGCGCCCCGCCGCCCAGAGTTCGGCTGCCTTGGGCCGCCCGCGCCGTGCACGCCCAGCTCGCCTCATGTCGCGGGCATCGCTGCCGAGGTCCTCGACCATGCACCTTCCGCCGTGCAGGTGGGGCTCCGCGTGCACGGACTTCAGGCCAGAGCACCGAGCCACCGCTGGCCACCCCGAGGGCGTGACTTTGGCCTGCCAGTACGGGGCGAAGTGCTACCGCAAGAACGTGGAGCACCTGCGGCAGTTCGTGCACCCCGGCGACAGGAATTACAGGGTCGGCATGGTGCACTTCCCCGTCCGAGACGGCAAGCAGGTCCAGCCCCAGTTCAACACCATGCGAGACTTGTTCAATTATTGCGACCCCGACGAGTCGGGGAACATCTCGCAGGAGGAGTTTGAGATGGCCTGGGAGCAGCTCCTGGCGCACGCCGCGAGCTTCGAGGAGGCGAGGTCGAACTTCGCTGGCCTCACGCTGGAGGCTGCCTGGCGACAGGCGGCGGGCGAGGACAGCACCCACCTCACGTTCGCTCAGTTTGCCAGGTGGGCCAGCGAGCAGCAGCTGAGGCTGCCAGTCGGCGTGGACCTTGGCGACGGCGCGGACAGGCTGTGCCGCTTCAACTACGCTGGGGGGAAGCGGTGCCCCTGCGCCAAGTTCCAGGCCAGCGAAGCGTCCGCGAGCCTGTGCACGTGCGGCCACAAGGCATCATGCCACCTGAGCTCGAAGAAGGTAAAACCGCATGAACACAGACTTTCGGAGCTCCGCGCAGATGTCTAGGGTCGGGGCTGGGCCCCCCCTGGCGGCGCCTCCGGCGTCGCCCCTGTCGCGCGAAGCGCGCCAGGGAGGGGGTCCAGCGCCGATCCAAGAAACCCGCGCGGAGCTCCGACAGTTTTAGCTTGTGTCATGTTTCCTTCCTCTGAGAGCGACGTGGCCTTCATGACCCACGAGGAGCAAGAGATCCTGAACAAGCTGTCCCGCGCGGCCAAGACCGCGGGGCCGACGGGCAGCCTGAGACTGTCCATGGCACCGGCGAGCAGGCCCGGCGTGACCATGGTCACCAACAAGGACGTGCTGCGGGTCCTGCAGGCCTTGCTGTCCGACACCTTCAAGAGCTCGGACAACTGGACCAGGGACAGGGGCTGCGCCAAGCACGGCCGGAACATCTGGAGGAGGGAAAAGCGGCACAAACATAGACTGTCGGAGCGCCGCGCCCATTTCTTGGATCGGCGCTGGGCCCTCCCTCCTCCCTAGCTCGCGGAGCGCGCCAGGGGCGACGCCAGAGACGCTGCCAGGGGTGCCCAGCCTCGACCCAAGCAATCCGCGCGGACCTCCGAAGGTGTTTGTTTATCCAGTTCTTTCTTCTTCGTAACATGTGTCCCCCCGAGTGCGTCATGAGGAACAGGGCTCCCGTGCCAGCGGGGTTCCAGCTCATGCGGGCGGAGAGGAACCGCAACCCGGCCATGTGGCAGACGTATGCCACGACGCGTGCGGCGATCAAGTCAGAGCGGGAAGACGCTGCGAAGGTGAGACCCTGGAGCAACCTGGAGATCATGGGCGAGGAGATCCTCGACGATGAGGCCAACGAGTGGCGGCTCCTGCACGGCACCAGCCTAGAGGCTTGCAAGGGGATTTGCAGGTCGAACTTCCGCCTCAAGATGGCCGGCACTGGGGCGACGTGGAAGGAGACCGGGAAGAAGGTGGGCAAGCCCTTGTACGGCTACGGCATCTACTTGGCGGAGTCGTCCACGAAGGCGGACGAGTACGCCGAGGTCATCACCGGGTCGCTGCCAGCGGACGAGGGCTGCTACTGCATGTTGGTCTGCCGCGCGGTGGGAGGCATGGTGAGCTCGGAGGAGGGCCAGTTGAGACAACGGCGGCTCTCTCGCCCGACCCAAAGCCGCTCAACATCGGTCCCCAGACGTCTCCAGGAGTCCGTCCTGACTTTTTTTGAGGCGGACCCAGCCGTGGCGACAAGGAGGTGGCTGCTCTTTCATGTATCGCTTCGCCGATCGGCGCGGGCCCTTGGCCCTCCCCTCCCCCCATAGACCAGATCTTGGCTGCTGTATGCTTTCGCTTCTGGCGACTTGTCAGGATCTCCCCGTTCTTTCCAGTCTGCACGCGCGACTGGTGGAAGCAGATCGACTAAGCACGGGCAGACCCAGACCCCCCCCCCCTCCCCCACCCTTCGGCCGAACGTCGAAACCCACAACAACAACAAAAGGACGCTTTCCGGCCGCCAGGAGGCCCAAGAAAGAAGAGGAACGCCAGGGAGACCCGCCGTCGTCTCGGCCGACCCTCCTCCGATGAGAGTGGTGGACACCAACGAGTTCGACACCGAGGCGCTGCGTACGGACGTGCTCGACGGGCCCTTCCACTCGGTGCTCGGGGACCGCACCTCCAAGCTC